ATTTTTACTTGGGAGGATAGCTATAATCATTTATTAAGAACATTCTTACTCCCAACTTGGAGAGTTTTTATTGCTATAACGCTACTTACTTCCTCAAAACTCTGTTGTATAAATTGCATAATGAGGGTTACAACTTCATAAATGTTGAATAACAAAACAAAAGTTTCTTCACAGAATTCACTTTAAGTAACCCCTAATTGTAATTTAGTGTTTCCTAGCATATGTGCAGAGAAAAGAGGTAGTTAAATATAATATGTATAATGTGGGGCGAAACTACTACAGCTATTGTTTTAGCTATTTTAGTTTCAAATTATATATTAATATAAATTTATATGTTTTTTTTAATTATTATAATCTCATGTTGTGTTTTGTTCTGTTAAGTTCTAAATAGTAAATTGAATAAGACCGACCGTTTAACATATCGAATAAAATGACGACACATGTATAATTAGAATGATCGAGTTAAAATAGTACTATTAATTTTATTTTGATATTTTAACAAATTTGTTAACAATATATATATATATATATACATATATATATATATATATATACATATATATATATATATATATAAATATAAATATATAAATATAATGCTAGTTCTAAAAATCTGTGCCCTCAATCTTTAAGTCTAGATCAAACGTCTGTTTGTTATTAAATATGTGAATAAAGTGAGATTAATCTTTTACGATGGGTATTGACTCCAATATTTATAAGCTAAACACGGTTTTGTGAATCGATAAAATTGATCATCTTACGACATAAGTAAATACAATTATTATTCTTTCTTCTGAAGGCGAAAATTCGTCTTTAATTCGGAATTGTCTTCCTTTCCATGTTTTCGTATTAAAAGATAAAAATATTTTCTTTGTTTCGTTCCCTTTGTTGTATTTCTGAACGTGGTAGGGGAAAATATGACCTGGTTACCCGGAAAGTTTTACACTAACAACTCCCTAATTATATACACTCATAATTATTTATGATATAACCAAAGAATGGAGATAAAATTGTAATACATTAACAGTTCAAATTAAAATTTATTGAACAATGTCCAATTATTGAAATGATACTGTTATTATTTTTATTTAAAGGAAAAAAAATCATGTATGACCGATAGAAACATAAAAAAGAATTTTATGCAGGCGAAATATTATTAAAAACAAAATTTTTCATCATCGTAAAGTAAGACTATCGTAATAGAGAATCGTAAGTAAAATAAATATATATATACTATTACATATTCTCATATATATAATGAAATCAGCACTGTTATTAATTCAATAGTTTACCATATTTTATGTTATCTTCTATCACTCATTTTTTTCTTTAAGAACTACATACATATACATATGATTACTGCTCAATATATCGTAGTAGAATTGCGTATATAATATTGCGTCTTTTAATGGTACCAAAGATCCCATGTTGTAGGTTTTTAGGAAAATCCTATAACGGAAGACTATTCCACATCCTAAACGTGCTTGGAAAAACTTATTATTTCCTGTTATGTTTTAGGTAACGTTAATATTTACGCCTACACTTATGCCTGAACAGTCGTCATTAATGAGCCCTCTGTCTACTTGTCTTACTAATTCACGAGCTAAAGTTCAAACCAAAAATGGATTTATGTTTAAAAATCCTGATTCTGTAATTCGTGATTTTCACGATTACCCATAGGTAATCGTATATACTTTATGAACGGAATAAAATATACAAAGTATCTTTTGAATACAGTATGTTTTTAAGTTACAAGTTAACAAATACAATTATATGTTTAATTTTAAAGTAAGATTTACGTAAATAAGTCGTATTATTTAGAAGTGTGAAATAAGGGTCCAAACCTACAATATTTTGCATTTAAAAGGGATCATTATTGGCGCATATTTCTTTTGAAAAATACTTAAAAGACGTATTACATTTTAACAAGAAGGTGCACTGGCTTCTTTAAGGCATAGTATAAAAAGTATATACTTTTTTTCTATAAGTCGACTTGGATATTAACTAACAGTAAATATCATTTGGTATCCTTATCTCCACTCTTCAATTGACAATAAATACAACCCAATTGTTAATTGTTCTAGCTAAACTTAATTATATTAAGTAGTACATTGTCAATAAGTAATTATAGTGTTCTTAACAGAAAATATTTATTTTAAATGATAATTCTACAAAGAAGAAAAAAAATGCTTTTTAAGAATCTGAGCATAATGATTTTCTCATTTCCGTCACTTATTAAATAATGGTTAAGGTAAATTTTTAGTTTTACAAAATAACTTTTTCAATTTAATTGAAAAAAATATGATATAGGAATAATTATCGATTTTCAAAAATATTTTAAAGATTGCTTTCTTCAATCGACCAACCTTTACCTCTTTATGATATTAATGAAGATTGATGAAGCCATTTTGACTTAAAAGACCATAATTAATTAAGCTTCATCTTTACGGTTTCACACCTATTTCGGTATTAATTACGATAAAGGAAGACGTTGAAATTCATAAAGGTGCTGGTGTAAATTACAAGTAATTTTTGGATGTAAGTAATTTTGTTGAACTCAGAAATTAATAAAGTTTTGGAATTATTATTAAACTACTGTTTCCTGAACTATTAGAACATAATACAACTTATATTAATATAAAACAATATTCTTTATTGTCACTATGGTTTTTATATCATAGTTATCTCAATTTTATCAATTATTATTAATTATTCTTTAGAATTGTTCTATCTTACCTGAAAAACCTTAAGAAATTAATTATTAAAAATGCTTGACATCTCATACTTTTATACAAAGAAAAAGATATTATGTTGCTTCATGACTCAACAAATTTTCAAGGCAAAAATAAAGGTTATTTCACTATACTGGTAAAGGACTTTTTATTTAAAAGGTGTGGACCGACAAGCAAGTTTCACTCATCTATGCATCTTTTGGACAGCAAGCTACATTTTTTTGCTCCCAAATAACATATTAGATATTCACCTAAGGACTTATATTTCGGTTGGTATTGAAAAGCCTTAGAAACTTCAAAAAATTTCAAGAGAATTTCACTGGAAGTGGACAATGTGTTATTATGATTGAGAATTCTTAGACAAATCTTTAGCTAATAATAAACTATCAACGAAAAATATCAATGTGTGGATAAATGGATGATTTATTTATAAAATATATTTAAAATAATCATTTACATCTAACTAAGCTGAAAGTTTTTTGTCAAATATCAGTTCATAACAATTTGGATTCAGCACAAATCTTCTAATCTAACAAACGAAAATTTTGCGTAAAAAAATTAGCTAACTTCAATTTCGTAAAAATATTAAATTGTTACGTTTGAAATATTTTGCATCTCAGAGATTGTTCTCGCTAATTCAATTTATTATTAAAGTATTACCCACGTTCAATAAAATACCGCAACTGAATAGGAAGCGCGCTGCACACAAATAAAAAAAGGTTGTTTTTCTATGTCTCGATATTTATACTGTTTTTATTATAGCCACTTTTCTAGGTGCCTTTCATAACCAAGCTAAGCGGATATCAACCACGTAAGCGTTTCGGTCATGAGTATTCGGATGCAAGAATATTAAATCGGCTTGGAGATATTCCAAATAGAATACCATTACAAAATATATCAGATCTTCCGTTTAAAAGTTTTATTCCAATGAATGATCAATAATAATAAATTTAAATATGTTATTTTCCATCATAAATAGATAATGAAATTTTATTCATAGTAAAAACACATATATATTTAAACCCTTGTGTGAATAAATATGCAACAGTTTACTCAGTTTTCATTAATTATAATTATACAATTTTACTTACAGAATTTTATAACGAGTACTGTTTCGCTGTTTGTAAAATATTGCTTCGCCGATAAACAATCTGCGATAAGGATTGTTGACTATCGGGATTAACAAATAATTTTATTTTACGACTGTATATTTCTTTATATTTACTACATTTGATAAACTTTACTATGGAAGGGTACTAATTTAAATATATATCTTTTAAGAAAATTAATATTTTTGCAACAAGTATAAAGGTGCCCATACCTTTGAATCAATTTGCCATCTGGCTTCCTTCGTAGGTATTAATTCTGAAATTATTACGGCACTGTTTTTTCAAATCTGGTTATTTTTTCATAAATAAAATTAACATAAACAATATCGTCGAGGATTTTCCTTTGAATTCGATTATTAAATACCACCAATAACATTTAAAATTCATAGCGTTTTGTATATTAATAAAATAATATATTTTGTTATTTTTTGAAATAAAAAGCTTCGTTGTTTCAAAATAGTATTAAGATATATAAGTAAAAAATATTTTTCATTTACTCCTATATTCATTTTATAATAATTGTTAGGTATTATCAACTGATATTTATCTTATTTTCTAAAATTGTATAAAACCACCTAAACATGTTAAATAAAATTTTATTGTAAGTAGTTTCTTGAAGTTACAAAATTTTATATTATTTCCTTAGCTCGCTTCGACCAAGAAAATACAAATTTTTGGTGACAATTAAATCTTATTATCATTACTACAAAGCGGAGCAGTGACGCTAATGAGTAATTTTGAATCAAATGGGATGTTTAATTCAGAGAATAATGTATAACTTAAATTAAAATGATTTGATTAAATTACCTGAAATAATATGTAATAAAACCATAAAAACTTAAAAACGACTAGTTTCACATTACAGAAGCTTTAAGACAATAGTAAAATCAAATTATTGTTAACTCTCTTTTATATTACTTATATAATTAATTATTATGAAAATAATAAGTTACACTCTGTTTTTATTCCAAACATCTTGATATAAGTTATGACATGAAACATCACTTAATCGAATTTGCTTCAAACAATATAAACGTGACATTTAAGGGTTATTCTCAGACATTTGAATTATAGATGAATTGGAAAACCGATGCTAAATGTCAAGGTATCCCCTAAGATTAGCGGAATCTCAGAAAAATTAAAAACGCCTCGTCAACCTTTAAAATATGCCAGGAGTCTGACTTTGACGGGGCACGCCCCAAGTGATATTCAGTACGTCCCCGTCGTGTGCCCTGGACCCCTTCCTGACCACCGTAACGGAGTGGCAGGTTGGGTGACCGAATCTGAATATCGAGACTTGTGGTTTTCGGAGCACTTTCGCTGTTATTTGATCCTTTCCACTTGGTGCGCGGTAACGCAGTGGCCAGTGGGAGGTGACTAGTTCGCTGCTCTCCAAATTGTATTATTTTTGTGTTTGATCCCTTACTGACTTGGCTTGCCTACTGGACTTTGCTTCTTTAGTGGTGTGGATCTTTGAATTTGTATATAATATATTATAGTATTAGTGTAAGTAGGGTAGTATATTATAGTATTTGTAGTTGTATATTATAGTATTAGTGTTTTAACTGTTTAATTTCTGTGTTGTGTAAGAGGTTGGGGGAAAAAAACATTCATTCCCCAACAGAATCAGTCTTGGGCAGGGCCCTGGACTGGACCATGTCAGAAACCTCCGAGTTGTCGGACAGGAGAGGGGAGGCTCCGCGAAGAGTCTCTCCAACCTATCGGCATAACAGAGGCAAGGCAGCTGCTAGCTCCAGTGGAGTGGATTCCATGGTTAACCCGAGGAAAAGGAAGGACTCGGACTCTGAGGCGGACTTGACGTCGGATTTCCCGAACACGGTCTCGCCGAAAGTCCTCAGAAGTATGACCGGCAGAGGGACCTACCACAATACTGCTTCGTCCCAAGCCAGACGTGAGAGGAGGGAAGCGGCGATATTGGACACCGACTCCGAAGCAACCGCTACCGAAATAGAGAAAGACCAGACGCGTTCCCCCAGAAGGGTGCAGGGTAGGAGGTCGCCAGACACCTCAATGGCGGACCTAGTTACTAAGACGAAGATGAGTTCCGATAGGATTTTGATGCTGGTGTCTAGTTCCAAAAATCTAAAAGGAACCATCAAGAAGGAAATCAAGGAGGAATCAATGGCAATATACCAGCTAGTTAAATCCATTGCTGAAAGGTCCACGAGCGAGGAGCTTAAGAGGGTGCAAGCCGACAATAAGAGGCTAAAGGGCCAGCTGTCCGCATTAGAGCGCGAGGTGGTCGCGCTTAGGCAAGCATTTGCTGAGCGCGGCAACCAAAGGGAGAAGCCTTCGAGTGAGGTGGAAGGCACAGTAGAGGAGACGCAGGCCAGCAGCCCTGGTGAAGGCGTCACTAGGATGGAGCTGGCAATAGTTATGGAGCGTTTTCAGAGAGAGCTGAGTGAGCAGTTCGGACGCATCCTGGGTGCCCGCTTGGAAGGGCTCGAGGTAGATGGTCGACTCCTTCCAGGCGTCTCGCATCGTCCAGCGTTGGCATCTGACACCGGAAAAAGGAACCACAAGCCAGTCGATGCGCCCACCACTCTTATCCCACCGGCGAACATGCCAAAAGAGGCGAGAGCCAAAAAGGGGGCAAAAACAAAGGCTGTGGAAACGACCTCAAGGCGAGCTGCAGAGCAGATAGCTGGTCCCTCCTATCAGGAGACACAAGTGGTGCTGGAAGGATGGACTACAGTTGTGAAGAAGGCAAAGCCCAAGAAGTCCCCACCAGCTCCCTCTACCGCCAAGGCTTCAAGGAAGAAGCCTTCCCTGCCGAAACAGCCAAAATCCTTAGCTGTAGTCGTGGCCCTAAAACCAGAGGCCGTGGCTGAGGGCATTACGTACAAGGATGCCATCGCTAAGGCCAAACAGTCGGTCAGCTTGCAAGAGCTGGGAATTAGCTCAACTAAATTTCGGACGGGAATGACGGGGACTCGAATTATTGAGCTCCCCAAGGAGGTCACTGCCGCCCAGGCGGACAGCCTTGCGTCAAAGATTGGCCAAGCGCTAGGGGATGCCGCCAAGGTGACACGCCCCAAGAAGATGGTAAACGTCAGAATTTCTGGCCTAGATGACTCGGTGACTCCGGAGGAAATCTGCCTGGCGCTGGCGGACAATACTGGAGTCTCCCCGAACGACTTTAAGGTCGGGCTAATTACCCACGGGTACACTGGGGTAGGCTCTACCATAACTGCCTGCCCCATTGAAACCATTGCCAAGTTGGCGGAAGTAGGTCGGCTATGTGTGGGCTGGAGCGCTGCTACCATCAGGGTTCTAGAGCAGCGCCCAATGCGATGTCATCGGTGTTACGACATAGGACACCCGCAGCAGTTATGCCCCTCTAACAAGGATCGTAGTGGATTATGTTTCCGCTGCGGAGAAGAGGGGCATATATCTAAAGATTGCACAGCCGCACTATGCTGCGCAGTGTGCAAGGACCGGGGATTGGCATCGGGTCACCGCATGGGCGGAGTCCATTGCAACCCTCCTCCGGTAAAGGGCCGCCCACTACCATGGCGAACAGCCCCTAGTTCTTCGGCCACGTCGGCCGCCCCTGTAGAAACACCTATGGAAACCAACAATGCCAGTTAGGCCCATAGGTAAAATTCTGCAGGGGAACTTAAACCACTGTGTCGCAGCACAGGACCTCTTGTGCCAGACTGTGGCCGAGTGGAACATAGATGTTGCCATCATCTCGGAGCCACACTCTGTGCCTCAGATACACAAGTGGGCCGGGTCGGTGGATGGCTCCGCGGCTATTTTATTTCCTGGCACGGCCCACACCCACTCTGTTGTGGAGAGAGGAGCGGGCTTTGTGGCAGCTCAATGGGGAGGAGTAGTGGTGGTCTCCACATATTTCTCCCCAAACCGTAGCCGGGCTGACTTCGTGTCGTTCCTGACAGCGATCGAAGGTGTCATCCTACGGGCGGCTCCGAATCCGGTGCTGGTGGCTGGGGACCTAAACGCGTGGTCTCGCGCTTGGGGCTCTACCAGGCGTAACGCCCGTGGTGGTATCCTGGAGTCTTGGGTTCTGTCCTTGGGACTCCAGGTCCTCAATAGAGGCACCACCCCAACCTGCGTCCGGTGGCAAGGCACATCCATAGTGGACGTGACCTTTGCCACCCCGTCACTGGCCGCCCGCATCAGGGACTGGCGGGTGATGGAGGAAGCGGTGACCTTATCGGACCATAAGTACATCCGATATGAGGTCTCCCCAGCACACTCAGGGACCACTATACGTCTGGGTCCTAGATCACCCTTCCCAAGGTGGTCACTGGTCCGGCTCCAGCCCGATGTGGCTGAGGAGGCAGCGATGGTGAGAGCTTGGGCTGAAGTGCCCGACACTATTGTTGAGGATGCGGACCGCATGGCAGATCTTTTCGCGGACGATATTAAGGTTGTCTGCGACGCCGCCATGCCGAGGACGCAAGCCTGCTCCCGAAACAGAGGGCAGGTATACTGGTGGACGCAGGAACTGTCCAGCCTTCGTACCGCTAGTATGGGAGCCAGGCGAGCATACCAGCGTTGCCGTAGACGCTCCCGAGGAATGTCCGGTGTAGAGGAAACTTTATACCGGGCCTACCAGGACGCAAACAAGGCGTTGAGGTTGGCCATTAGAAAGGCAAAAGAGGATGCCTGGGACCAGTTCCTCGGTATCCTGAACAACGACCCCTGGGGTAGGCCCTACCGGATGATTAGGGGGAAGTTCAATACTCCAGCTTCCCCTACCTCCAGTATGGAGCCTGGGCTGCTTCGGAGGGTGCTGGGGACGTTGTTTCCCGATCCTGGACCTTTTGCACCTCCGCGCATGTCAACCGCCGATTTCGCTCAGGGGGAGCGGGTTGACGGCCCCCCCGTGTCGGATACTGAGTTCGGCATGATCCGTTTGAGGCTCCGATGCAAAAGCAAGGCGCCGGGGCCGGATGGGGCTCACTCCAAGGTGATGGCTATCGCTTTGGGGCCACTGGAGAACCGGTACCGCGCACTGCTTAACACCTGTATTGCGACGGCCCGATTTCCCAGGCGATGGAGAATAGGGCGGCTCTGTCTGCTCCGTAAGGAGAGCCGTCCAGCGGATGCCCCAGAGGGCTACCGGCCAGTTGTGTTGCTGGATGAGGCGGGGAAGGCTTTTGAGAAGATTCTCGCCTCCCGCATCATTCAGCATCTGGAAGGTAGGGGGCCGGACCTGGCGGAATGTCAATACGGCTTCCGCAGGAGACGGTCCACAATCGACGCGGTGAGTCACCTCAAGAGGTGGACTGAGGCGGCTTTTGACAGGAGGGAGGTGGTGATCGCGGTGTCACTGGACATCGCGAACGCGTTTAACACCATCCCCCACGAATGTATTACGGAGGCGCTCAAATATCACCGAGTGCCTTCGTACCTTCGCGCCATTGTCGGGGACTACCTGCAGGACAGGATGGTCCTCTACGAAAACGCGGAGGGCCGCGTCGAGTCATGGAGGGTGGCGGCAGGAGTACCTCAGGGTTCCGTATTAGGTCCTCTATTATGGAATCTGGGGTACAATTGGGTGTTGCGAGGCTTAAAGCCGCCGCGCATGGATGTCATCTGCTTTGCAGATGACACGCTAATCACGGCGGCAGCGAAGAGTTGGGACGAAGTGATCCGCCGCGCGTCATTCAACACCTCCTTGATCGTGCGGCGCATTCGTCTGCTGGGTCTGCAAGTGGCCCTCAACAAGACGAGGGCCATCTCCTTCCATGGCCCACGACGAGGAACAAGAGAGGAGCTCAAAGTCCTGGTAGAGGGGTCCTAATTTCTGTCGAGGGGCATGTGAGGTACCTCGGCCTTACGCTGGACTCTCGGTGGAGCTTCGTGAAACATTTCGAGCTCCTAGCTCCCCGGCTGTGCGCCGCCGCAGCCAGCTTAGGTCGGCTCCTTCCCAACGTGGGAGGGCCGAATACAAAGTGTCGTCGTCTGTATCACGGGGTGATACGGTCGATGGCACTATACGGAGCACCGGTGTGGGCTGAGTGCCTCAAACCCCGCACGCGAGCCCTTTTGTGTAGGCCGCAAAGAATTATCGCGTCCCGAGCTGTGAGGGCATATCGAACGGTGAGCCACGGGGCGGCCTGCGTGCTGGCGGCCATGCCTCCTCTGGACATCGATGCACTTGTGCTTGCGGAGGTGTATCGAAGCAGAGTTGAGGCACAACAGCGGGGTGGAGCGCCTGCTCTTGTAAACATAGAGCAGGCCCGAGTAGAGGCCCAGAGAGAGGCACTACACCGGTGGCAGGAGGCACTTGCCAATCCCACCGCTGGTCACTGGACGATAGAGGCTTTTCGTCCAGTATTAGTGGAGTGGGTGGGGTGCCAGCGGGGCAGCCTAACCTTCCGTCTGGTGCAGATCTTGACT